TCCCTCTAGGGCTTCATCCCACGAGATGTAGAAGGATTCATGCCTGCAGCTGCTTTTTCCCTTTCTGTATGCTTGTACTTAAGGTTATACAAAGTGTTTGCCTTGTTGGTTCCTCAGGCAGAATTAATCACCTGGCTTAATGTGATGCCCAGACTCCTAGGCTGCCTGCCCTGTAGCAGGCTCTGGAGAATAAGAGGATGTCCCACTGCACACAGAGGCTTCAGGTAAGTCAGCTGGAATTTCCCAGGCACCAAATGTGTCCCACTGGCCCATGCACAAGTAAAACCAGCTGACTGTCTACGTGGAGTAACACACTGTAGTGCTGGAGGTTAGAACTATGTACCTGAATACCCCCCCGAAATACAAAAGCCAGAGTTAATCTCAAAGACTATGTGCTTAGATCCTACTTTATATAAATATATAAAGCTTAAGAAGAAAAATCAGAAAGCTCCATATTTTTTTCCAGCAATTATAACTACATCAGAAGGGATCAACATAGGTGGCAATTCTTCCATCACTCACAGTTAAATATATAAACAAGAGCACTCATTTCACTCACCTTGAAATCATTTACAGTAAACATGAATTCAGGAAACCATGGCATTTGGAAAAAGAAGTAGTAACCAGATTTAAGCAATTGTGATGGATGTCGTAGAATGTATTCTGAAACAAAAATGCCCATGAATTAAAAACGAAAACTGATGACTCTAACAAAATTACCATTCATATTACTATTTTTTAAACTTAAAGGAATGTTTTAAATACATCACAATAGAACATGCTACATGACAAAAGCTGATTATAGTTTCAGGAGTAAGTATATGATGTGGCCTTAAAACATATGTCTCTTATATGTGTTAATAGAAACAGTCAGCAGACCAGAAGCCTGCCAAAGATTAGGTGAGGGCATTGGAGAGTTGACTCGCATGATAGTTTTTCACTATTTGTGTAGCTAGTCCAAAGCATTTTTTTTCAGCTGTGGAATAAGAGGCATAAATACAAGTATTTTAAGTATTTCTTTCATCAGAGATGTGATGCATCAAAATCTGTAGATGATAATGCTCTAATATGCTAAAGAAAGCATCAACCCTGTTCATAAAAGTACAGAATTTAACTGTTGTCTTCTTGGCAATTTCAAGAACCATAATCAAGACTGCATAGTGTCACTCTTTAAAGACATTGGAACATCCATAACAAAAGAAAATGATACAGCCACATTTGCATTGTCTTTTTTTTTTTTTTTTAATTGAGATTTTGTCTCCCCCATGAGTTGCAAGAGCCAAGACTGACACTCAAATATCTGACTTCCTCAAAGCAAGCACAGAATGTATGCAGGTACTAGGAAGTCCAGAACTTACCCTCTACAGATGCAAATTCAGGAAGGCAAAATTGCACTCCAAATACACAAGATCTCACTGAAATACTGACACAATAAAAATGGGTTTTAAACCTAAGTAATTTGAAGTGTCAGCTATCTTCTAAGCTTTCATATCTTAGACGTTCTAAAACTGCATCACCCATAATATTTTTCCTTGATGGGCCATCATCAACACTGCTTACTTCACTTTTCTGCACTGTGTTTATAGTATTTATATAATATATACATTTATTTATATTTATTGTAATATTTATATAAACTGTGTATTTTAATTTAATCCACAGTACAAATTTGCTCCAAGGAGACTCTATCAAGCTACAGAACAAACTGTACTTCAACAAATATGCAAGCAAATACTCAATATAAATATATATGCTATAATAAATACTATAAGAAAACATATATGTCTTCTATACAGCCTGGCTCCTGCTCTCAGTGAAAATACTGCAAAAAGCCACTGCTTGCTGAGGTGGTGGTGAACAGACCTCTCCTTGAAGAGGCAAATTATACTCCTTGGTGTATAAAGGAGTATAATTTACCCTCCTTGTATAAGTAAGGTTTAACTACCTGGCAAAATGTTCTTTAATGTCTTTGAAAGGTGCCCAAGAACACTGTGAGAAAAACACGTATGAATGGTTCTGATTCCACCATGGTGTAAGGTCAGATTTACATTCAACTGAAATGTAAATTAATGCTGCACTGAATATTATTAACTATTTCTGGGGAAATTGAATGACTTTTAAAATGGAAATAGGATTGAAGCAATTAGAATTAGTAAGATATTACTTTCATTTGAATTACTGAACGATGTCATTCCCATGAAATGCTTTGTAATTCTAGGTAGCAGACAAGCTCAAAGCCTATCACACTACAAATTCTGCTAGTGCACTTAAACCCTTGCTTCAAGTCACTACTTCTACCTTCCTGAGCCTCTAGCAAGTACCCTGGAAAGGCTGTCTTCTTCCAATGAATATTGTACCAGACCATAAATTGTCACTCATTACCTAAATCAGGATTAAATTCTAATGTCCGATTCACATTTATATAAAGGCTGGTTTATGCAAATTTCGTAACGCAGTGAGGCCTTAACCTAGGTGTAATGCAATATAGGCCCCTCTTCAGGGAATTTTATCCTGCCAAAATGGCATGAAACAGATTTATGTAGATGAAAATTATGTTTGTGGACCTCCAGGGATTAAGAAAAACATTAGTAAATTTGGTTGCAAGCACTCCTATTTCCTACAGTAAATTATTTCCAAAAGTCAAATACTTGTTACCTTACTGCTTCATCAAGTAAGTCCAGACTGTGAGAGGCACCGAGTACTGACAATTTATCTACTGAACATGTAAAAGGGCAAATAGTTGGCTCTTCTTTGGCAACCTCAAAGCAAACACAATCACAATGAAAACACAAATACTCTGTATTAACAAAGACTACTATAAAACTCACCTGTAAACACAGAAGGATGAGGGAAATTAACCACAATCAGCTTGGTCACCATTTCAGGGTAACATATAGCCACTAACCAAGCGATCATTCCTCCCCAGTCATGGCCAATCAACACACACTTGTTGTATCCTACCACAGAAACACAGATTTCTGCTTTTATTTCAGTGGAATTTGTATCCATACAAATTATCATATACAACAAAATCCTTACTGGGCAAAACAGGTGGTCCAGCAGATTTATTAATATAACTATTTAATACTGCACTGCTTCCTTTACTAGTGGCCAGAAAAAAATAGTGCACTACTATAGTTGAAAATTAGTGCAAATAATTTAAATTATTTAATTTGTCTTCAATTACGCTTTAACTACACTGCCTCAATGTCGAACTAACGTCACTTGGTATCCAAATGGCCACCCTGTTCACTTCTTGGTGACTGCAGGCTCAGATACACAATTCAACCTGCCATCATCATAATGCATGTACATTTGTCATATTTAGGGAGTTTGGAGTTTGGAAACTGCACACAGAAAGACTGAGCAACCTCCTGAGCACTCCCCTGAGCAAAACTAATCTCTATGAATTTCTTTGAATATAGGAAGTTATCTAAGCACTGAATATTACCATTGTGCAAAAAATGGGCATTATACTTGATAGTCATATTCATATATATATATATACACACATATTTATATACCTAGTAGGCCTGTAGCTTTTCTCCATATGCTGTTTTGATGTCAATTTTTTTAAGTTCTTGGCATTCATATACTTATTCTTCCATTGATAAAAATGGTAATTTAAGAGCATAAAAGGGGGGACAAGAATCATGAGAGTTTTTGAAAGCCTAACCATTCCTTCTTTAACAACTGCTGGAGAATACACACTATAGTGTCAGATATCATCACTCTCTTCACTGAGGACTGTAATGCTGAGCAGATAGATTACAAACCAAATGTATAAAAGCCAAACTGTTTAGACTTCTGACATAAATTTGGACACAGTTGTCAAAGCACCTTTTAACCCCTCTTGAGCAGAAATCTTTTGAAGCACTTTTGATATAATCAAGTTCTCCAAAAGAATTTAACTTGGGGTTAGAACAAAGAAAGATAACAGGCCCCAGAAATATTTTTTTTAAAAAATTTTAAATCCCTATGAAATTGAATTATGATGAGAGCACTTCTCAAGCATAACCACGGTATTACCATGGAGATTAACACTATCAGCAAAGGCTGGAAAATGTAAACAGTGTGGGGACTGCCTGCCCCATCTTTTGACAATATTCAAACATCACGAGCAAAGTAAATCCCGAATTCAAACCTTAGAACTGGAATCACTGCTTTACTATTGCTTCATGTGAAATGCAGCAAGTTGTTTCATTACCCTAGAGTATCCAGGAAATTAAAATGATTCAGAGAATGAGTTTAATCCCTTGTCTTGCTATTGGTATGGAAAGGAAATACCCTTCACTAGGTGTTACAGTTTATCACCAGAACAGCTATGCTTCATACTGAACTGGAGTGCAAATTCTGCAGATTTGCTTCACCTCTAGACTGTTACACCATGTATTTACCACAAGGACCAATATGTCCCTTGTTGTCCCTTCTGCTCAGGCAGAGTGATTCACTCTAGAGAGTGGACTACTGTGCAGGAGTAGTATTTTGGGATTTTTTTTTTAGCACAGCATAAGTACTGTCATCATCTTTATAAAGCTCACAATATTTATTCTGTCTTCTTGTGCAAGAATGTCACCCCATATAAATTCTTTGGTCTGCAAGTGCTATTAGATTCTAACTCAGAACACTGTCCACCAAGTACAATGATTAGGAGTAAGTGAAGACTTTAGGGGAAAAGTCCAAAGGTTTATGCTCCTGGATTTTTTTTTTTAAACTCCTGATGGAAAATCATCTTTGCATATTGTTTATAATGACATACACATTGTGATAAGAAAACAAACCTTTTTCATTGATAATAGACCATAAAATATGAGTATCTTTAGATTTATATCTATACATATCTATAATGTATATATTAAAGATAATGCAGTTTAAAAAAAAAATCAATGCTAGATCTTTCCAAAGCCTTTTTTCCAGAAAATCAAGTAATCTATGAGCTGAGTAGTTTGTCTTCTACTAACGCACCTAGAGATTCCAAAATATCCTTTATATCTGTTATCAGGCAATCCAACTTGTAATTTTCTTTGTGAGAAGGAGCATCTGTTTCTCCATAGCCTCTCAAATCCAGGGCCACCACTCGATATTCACTTTTAAATTCCCGCAGTTGATGGCGCCAAGAATACCTAACAAAGGGGGAGAAAAAGTTGGAGTTGTAAGGTCAAGCAGTATGATGCCAAAACACTCTCAATGCTTTTGCTCTCAAATAGTTGAGGGTAAATTATCATGGCTTCATTTGCAATGAGATTCTTTTCCTTTCTGTAGTATGCTGATTGTCCTTTGTGGCTAATGTAGTTCTGCGCTCCTTTCTTGAATTACCTAGTAAAGAAATGCAGCTGCCAGAACGGGGGCATGGCCAGAGGCTGGATGTTTCAACAGTTCCTGGAGTCTGGCATGGTCCCTCTGCTGCAAAGGAAGGAGGCATAAACCACAGCATGCAGAGGACTCTTCTGTTTTACCCTTGGAGCCATAGTGTCACCCAAACCGTATGGTTTGAAAAGCCTTCTCTTCTCCTTGGCTTGCTTACACACACATTTTTCTGATTTATGTTCTGTACACTTTCACCTGTGTCTCTATACTATTGGAATTGTTCCAGAACAATGTCTCAGTGTGTTGGTACTACACAAAATACTTTGTTGCTTGTGTTTCTATGGAAAACAGTGATAAATTACACACATTAAAACACATACAAAATTAAGAACTCAGGCAAAGGCCTGGGCCACTCCTCATTCTGTAATAGTATGTAGTGACTAGATCACAGAATCACAGAATGTTAGGGGTTGGAAGGGACCTCCAGAGATCATCCAGTCCAACCCCCCTGCCAGAGCAGGACCATCTAGTCTAGTGCAGGTCACACAGGAATGCATCCAGACAGGTCTTAAAAGTCTCCAAGGAAGAAGACTCCACAACCTCCCTGGGGAGCCTGTTCCCGTGCTCTGTGACCCTTACAGTAAAGAAGTTCTTCCTCATGTTGAGGTGGAACTTCCTGTGCTCCAGCATGTGACCATTGCCCCATGTCCTACTGCAGGGCATAAGTGAGAAGAGGTTGCCCTTTCCTTCCTGACACCCAGCCCTCATATATTTATACACATTAATTAGATACCCCCTAAGACTTCTCATCTCTAGACTAAAAAGCCCCAGGTCTCTCAGCCTGTCCTCATAAGGCAGGAGTTCCAATCCCCCAATCCCCCAGAAGACTGGACTCTCTGAGCAGATCTCTGTCACTCTTGAAATGGGGAGCCCACAACTGGACACAACACTCCAGGTGAGGTCTCACCAGGGCAGAGCAGAGGGGGAGCTGGACCTTCCTTGTTCTGCTGCATGCACTTTTCTTAATGCATCCCAAGATACCATTGGCCCTCCTGGCCACAAGGGCACACTGCTGTCCCATGGACAACTTGTCCACTCCAACGTCGCACTCCAAAGAGCTGCTCTCTAGCAGATCTCCTCCTAACCTGTACTGGTGCATTTTGTTACTCCTGCCCAGGTGCAGGACTCTGCACTTACTCTTGTTGAACCCCATTAGGTTCTTCTTGGCCCAGCTCTCCAGTCTGTCCAAATCTTGCTGAATGGCTGAACAGCCTTCAGATGTATCAGCCTGAAATGCTGGGGTTTGAACC